CATACACACACCACACACACACACGACGTCCGGTATTACACTGCAACACTTAATCGGGATATTGCGACATTTTAAATCCGAAGGACCTCGCTGCCTCTTATCAAGATTACGGTATTGCTCTTAAATTGCATACATACCTTTTTCCTTTTGCTCCGGTTGTTCCATACCATCCCCCTCCCCGCATGCGGAACGACCCAGTCACCCGAGACATTTTTCGTGATCACCACATCACCATCGGTCCGTTTCCGCTTGACTTACACGGCGGTCCAGGCGGCTTTTTGAACTTTCTGCCTTGCCTTGGCTTCTTTCCCCCCTTGCCTTGGCTGGTGTGGTCCAAGATATCGTGGCCGACTGGCAAAAGGGAGTATCCTTGGGTGTACATATAAATAGGTGTTCGACAAGTCCGGAAACGGGTTGTTGTAGTGTTGGCTCCTCTTGGACCTTTTTTTTAAAAAAAAATTAACACATTTTGCCATTCACTTGGCAATCCTGCGACGTTCGCCCTCTGGCAGCTGTCCACATCGCATCACTTACACCCACGATATCGGGGGCTTTGCTGTCCTCTCGGGACTTGCCCTCACATACCTATCACGCCTCACACCATCACCACCAAACCCCACTTACAGCCAAAATGTTCCTCCCAATACACAACCTCATACTCGGTGCGTTCCCCCTTCTCCTCCCCTCTCCCCGTCCTTCACTAACGCATCACGCAGCGCTGGCAACCCCCCTAGCAAACCAAGGCGTAGCAGTAAACCACTTCAACCTCGGCTCTCGCGCCGTCCAACCCATAGCAAACGCCACCCCCCTCCGCATCATGCCTTTAGGGGCATCAATAACCTACGGCCAAGCCTCCACAGACGGCAACGGCTACCGAAACGAACTCCGCAACCAGCTCGTCGCCGCCGGCAACACCTTGGTAAACTTCGTCGGCTCCCGAAAAGCGGGCATAATGCGCGACAACGATGTGGAAGGCTGGCCAGGCGCCCGCATCGACGAAGTCCACTCCAGAGCCGTCGCTGCGGTGTCGGTGCCGAAATACAAACCCAACGTTTTTCTTGTGAATGCGGGGACGAATGATGCGTTGCAGAATAAGGATGTGCGTACTGCCGCGCTGAGGATGGAGGCGATGTTGAAAGATTGCTGGACCTTGTCACCCCGGGCAGTGGTGATCCTTTCAACACTGCTGCTCAATAAGGATCCGGTCGTGGAGAGGAGGGTGTTGGATATAAATGACCAGTTTCGGAGGTTGGTTAAGAGCCTGAGGGATGAGGGAAGGAGAATTGTGCTGGTGGACATGCACAGCGATCAGGGGCCGATGGAGGGGGTGGATTTTGCTGATCAGACGCACCCTAATGATAGGGGATATAAGAAGATGGCGAATATATGGTTTGCCGGGCTGGTGGCGGCGGGGGATGAGGGGTGGATTCAGACGCCTGAGGCTGTGGCGGGGCTGCCGGATGATGGGCTGAGATCTTAGAGGGATCGAGAGCAAGTTGTTTATGGTGGTCCTGCTGGTGGTGTTGGGGATGAGGAGGTGGTGGCTGCTGAGGGTGGTGATGAGGAGAATGGGGGGGATGGGATTGGCCCGGGCGGTTAGACACCGAAAACAACACCAGTCCCCGCGGAAAGACCAACATGGGCTACACCAACACCGGCTGCCACCACCAAGTCGTCCAACAGCGAACCAGGGCAAGTAACACCAACCTCGAGTGTGAATATTGTTGAGGAACAAAAGCAGGAAGGCTCCCCGTCTGAAGAAGGCTCTCCGTCTGAGGAAGGCTCTTCGTTTAATTCCGTGTGGTATATAAAAACGCCAAAGGACAGCATCACGACCCATATCCGCCTGCAGCTGCTGCCGTCTATCGCAATTCTGATTGAAATGTTGGAGAGATCAACCTCATGGTCGGGTTACCTTGTTATCCGTCTCCTTATTCTTTGGAATCTGTGGAGCTTTCAACTCAACTACGGCATAGGGTCTATTTGGGGGCTTTACACAACAGCATTGTTTTGGATGGTTTATTCTGAGCAGTTCGAAACCATGTCCCATATCCACCTGCTGCTGCCGCTGTCTATCGTAGTTCTATTTCCAAGGTTGTATAACTAGCATCATGGTCGGGTCACCTTGTTATCCGTCTCCTTATTCTTTGGAATTTGTGGAACGTTCAACTCAGCTCTGGCACAGGGTCCTTTTGGGGGGCTTACGCAACAGCATTGTTTTGGATTGTTTACTATGAGCAGTTCGACCGAACCTTGTTTCTCCTCTGGTTGGTGTTTGGGGGCCCTCTGCCTGAAAAGTTCCACGATGTAACCATCGTGGCTTCCCAACGGATTCGATAGCCTATGAATGGCTTATCATGGATCTGGAGCCCACCGGTGTTTTTTATAATGGCTTGGGAGAATGGAGGATGATGAAGTGGAGGGAGAAGATGAGCGTCATGGATTGTAGAGTAAATTATCTGCAAAGCTGAAATAAAGCGTTGCTTTTATGTTTATAAATGTATTTGATGTCCTTGAAGGTGGATTGACTGGTCGTCTTTGAGACTCTATCCAGAGTGTGTTTACTCTTGTCAATGGACATTGGCTCCTCCCTGATGTGTGTGTAAACACAAGCCGTCTGTTTTCACCAAAAGTGAGGGGGGCCTGGGAAAGTGTTGACCAAGGTAAGTGTTGAAAGATAACAAATAAGGGCTATGCATAGATGGATTCCACCAGACAACAGTGTCCGTTGTCACTACAGGTAGGTGTGAATCAAACTCAGATAGGTGCCTAATAAGCTCTATGGAAGGTACCTTGACGGTGCAGAACGGCGAGTGCTGGCCATAGGTGCCCGATGATGGGTGGAACCCTGGTCCATGCATGTGGGAGACATCTGCAACTTCCCTTCCTTCGACTTGGACCAGCTCCTGTGGGGGGGGGGGGGGGGGGGGGCGGCATTTGGTCTGTTTCTTTGGAAGCTCTCAGCTCTTGTTCCTCTTTTGGATTCCCCAGCCGATTCCCACCAAGACGTACAAAGTCCATACCAACGCTTATAGCCACTGTGGACTCTGGGTGACATGTACATTCACACGGATAGGTGCACAAAAGCAGAAGAAGGTAGGTAGTGTTCAAGCCCTCGTAAGCAATACGGACGGACCCTACTCAAACTGACACCAACATGGCTAGGAGCTCAAAATCCAGAAGCAGGTTAGGGGCCTTGAATCCTGGTTTGGACTGTTTCACTTTGCCTGACTGAGCTGTAGAGAGAGAGGCCGGGAGACTTGCCAGTCTGAAGGTGTGTTCTGCTCTGTCTGGTGCTGGCCGTGGGAGAGTTGGCAGGTCTGACCAAGACGTTGAAACCACAGGTCGACAACGACAACAAGAACAACATGACATGCACTTCGATATTTGTCGCATGTCTGAGTAGGATATGGCATAGATAGCCTACCTCCGGGACCATGGGCTCGGATGGATCTGATGCATTAGTAACGGCATGGCTGCAGGCTGTATGCAAGATACCGCACCTGGATCCGACAGCTGCATGATGCAGCAGGTGGTGCAGGCCAGACGACGGACCACTAGTTGGTCGTCGATCTAGATCCTGAGCACGTTATAGGGTAGGCACAAATGATGGGCATCACACCGCAATAGGTAAGTTGTGTACCTTATATTGTCAGGTGCTGAAAGTCTTGAGATGGCAGATCTAAACCTCCCCTTCTCCCCCACCTCCATAGCCCTCCCTAACCGCCTCCTCACACTACCTCTTCCACCACTCCCTCGTCTCCTCCTTGCATTCACTCGTCTCCTCCATCGCCCTAACCGCAAAGGTATGAGCCCCCTCCCTGGCCCGCCTCGCGTTGCTGGCGTAATTTATCCGCCATGATCTCGTACCCTATCTCCCTCTTCTCAAATCTGTCTTTCTCGGCCCTGGTGATATCTGCATCTGCCGCCCTCCTCTCAAACTCTCTCGCCTTTCTGGAAAAGTATGCCGCTCGCGATAACAGTTTCTTTTCCTTGGCGAGGAGCATCTCTGCTTCGGCGGCGTAGTACTCCCGGGAGTACTTCACCAACTTACTCGAGTACAAGGCGATTTGGGCGCGGTAGTAATGGCTGTTGTAGAGTTTGAGTTTTTCGATGGCGGTGATGCCTGGGTGGGAGATGCGACAGGTGGTGGTGGTGGTATTGGGTTTCTGATCCTCTTCGTTTCTGTTGAATTTGGATTTTAGTTTGATTGGAGCCCCGATTGTCAGGTGTAGATAGCCTGGGAAGAAAGCGATGTCTGGTGCGCTGTAGTCGTCTGGTTCGGGCTCGACGAGGGCTTGTTGCTCCATCTTGATGTTATGAACTGACGCCCCGATGGACATGAAGGAGGAGCAGGAGTTTGGTTGGTATGCCTTCAAATATATATAAAAAAAATAGGCGTTAAATATGTGTTATAGGCCTTCGGGGATAGTCGAAAGGTCTTCTTAGATGTTTAAGAAGTGTCCTAACTATCTTTGAAGGCTTTAATATTTCATCGCAGTCCCTTATTTTCTGTCCACAGGGGTGCTACTAAGCGGAGGTTCGGATGGCAGTGAAGAAAAAGACGGGATTTTGGGATGGAAAGTTGCTCGGTGTGTCAAGTTGAATATTAAGGAGACAAACTTTGTTTTTGAGTTTGGTGGGTGGACAAGATGTGCACCTGTGGTAAACTCAATTTTCCCAGTCGATAACGTTTGGTACCCAGCTGAGTGAAAAGACATAGACTGCCATGCCCTTCTTGACATGGGTAAAGATGAAATAGAATATTATCCAAAAGATCATATGACATGTAGAGATCTCAGATATTGTAAAATTTCGCCCGAAGATAGCCAGAAACCCCGGGACCTCCCAAGTAGCGTGCAGCAAAAAGGGTATCAAGATCAACCTTTAGAACGCCATAACGCCGTCTCCATGCAACCCTATTCACATTATACCCTCATCCACGGCCCCTACTCAACCACACTCAACTCAGCCAGCCCATCATCCAAAGAATCCTTGGTCTACACGCACTCAATCTGATGTTTTGGAACGACCTTGAACAGCCTATCCCAACTCTCCTCCCCCTTCCCATTTTCCGATGACGGCGAGGGCGAAGGTGAAGGCGAAGGTGACCCCGAAGGCGAAAGCCCCGGCGAGCCGGGTCCCAAACCCTTCAACATCCCCAACGCCGCTCTCGCCTCCTCCTTCTGCCTCGTCATCCCCCGCCTGACAAACTCGGCCTTCTGCAAATCCTCCAATGCCTCTTGCTCCTCAACCCATTTCCGCAACCTAGTCTCATCCTCCACCCAAGGCATCCCTCCCATCTCAATCAACCTCCATCTGAGTTCAGCTACCTTCTTCGGGTCCGAGAGCTCGTCAATAGCGGCATCACCCCTCAGCCCAGGCCATAAAAGGATCTGTCCATATTGATCATATACAGCTTCCAAGTAAGGTGCACCACAGTTACACGTCACCAGCTCTTGTGCCATGATCTTGAAGATGCTGTTTTGATTCTTGCACGTCGCGCAGGTGAAAGCAGCTGGGATTCGGAGCTTGAGCGGGGGTCGGCCGAGGTGGTCTCTCATCTGGCATCCTTGCGGGGCATTGCTGCGATGATGGCTCGGGACACAGGTCTGGGGATCGTGCGCGTGGGGACAGGAGCTAACTCGTCTGTCTTGGGAGAAGACAAGGAAATTGCTGGTGTTGTCGCAGTGGCAGCATGTGTATTCTTTCGGGGTGAAGGGTGAGCAGATGTTGATGTGACTGGGAGGGTAGATAGGCTTGAGCGCCGGTTTCGTCGTCGGTCGCTCCATTGTTGTTATTCGTGATCTGGGATGTATATCCCTTCTCGTGGTTTGAGAGTATTTTGACGAGGTGAGTATCTTCGGGTAGCCAAGTCGAGTGCTGCAACAAAGTCGTAGCTAGCTCTCTCGGTGGTCGCCGGTTGACTCGGGGGATTTATTCGGAGTATTACTCTCAGTCGGCTCCTTCGGCGGTGTCTTACCCAATCGAGTCAATGTCTTCAAGCCCAACAGCCTTTTGTATCCGGCTCTTCATGTACTTTCTGGCTCCTTCGGAAGAGGGACCGGAGTAACTTTTTGTGCTGCAACCGGTGCCGCTCCTGTGGTACAAAAAGCCGTTACCCCCCAAGTGAATTTGTCGAGAGCTTGGGGAACATTTAACCTTTCGTACCTACCTGAGCAACCACACCTCCCGATCCTGCTGGAGCTAATGTAGAGCGTTGGCGAAGGAACTGGGACGCCAAAATAAACAACCCCCCGGTAGCTGATGTCAGGGCTTGACGGACTTTCCCCTGGAGCTCCGTAGCTGAGCGCAGGGCCCGCTGTTCAGGATCTGGTCATGGTCGATAACATCCAATAATCCCTACTCATGCGTGCTGCTGGATACCGAGACCGCAAAGTGAAGTCGTGGGAATCATGACGCCATCTGTGCTACCCTTCATCAGCCAGTACAGTACCATCGTGACTATCTCACCATCTGTCCGGGGTTCCCCACACTGACCCCGAATGCCACATTGATCGGCAATCCCGGTCCCCCTCCCAGATCACGGACCCCGGGGGACGGCAGCCTTCGGTACGCCTTGCATCGTCGATGATGAGGGATGGGTGTGGCAGGGCGAACGCAAAGGTCCTTGTTAAAACGAACGGCTACCGATCGATCGCAGGTTCGTTGCGCACAGATGGGGTACCCAAGCTCCTGGGAAGAGTTCACTCTTGCTCCTGCCAATCCCCAAACTCCGAGTATCAGCGACCGAGATGGAATGTTGCACCCCACCAGCCTCCAACTTCTCAGCCATCAACCATGCCCGTGTTGTTCTCACCTCGCGATACTCAGTGCAGAAAATGCAATAAGCAGCCATTCCATCTCCATTACATCGCAAGCTGCTTGACATCTCATCTTAACTGTCTCACCATGAGAAGAGACGCCCTTGGCGACAGGAATATCAAATTCAAGAAAAGGCATGTACAAAAGCTTGACTGCCGGCACGGCGAGAGAAAGAGCCTCAACAACCACAGATGGGCTGTGGTGTACTAATGTTGCCGCATGTGACAGACAGACCCAAGAGGCGTGGCCAACATCTTCTCCCAGACTCAGACTCAACTACTACCAACGGCGAGAAGAAAGAAGCAAGCACACTGCAGCCAACAAGCGTTGGCACCACAGAGATGGCATTATTACACACCTTATAATCACCATCACAGAGAGCAAAAGTAAATCACCACAAGCCACTTCCAGGTTGTAGCCTTGCGGTCTGTGCCCAACAACTTCCCTCCAACCCTCAACACCCTCACGTTCACATCACCCATCAACCAAAAGATTTATAAAAATATAATAATTTTTTTTCTTTTTTGCTTTATATGCATACACCCTTCCCTGATCCCTCCCACCCTCTGAGAGATGACTGCAGTAACAACGAAACCGAATCGAATAGCAGTGCCCCCCGGGGAAGGAAAAAAAAATCCCCCCAAATCCACTGATCGCCCCCAAATTCATCTCCCTCCATGAAATGGTACAGTATCCTGCATGCAATAATAGCCCATAAAAGTCGCGGGTATATCCATCCCTCTAACAATAACCCTCAAAAACAGCCCTGTTCTTTCCCATTTCCTCCCTACCGTGTCTATAAACAACCCCAGACTCCAAACCTTTGTCCAGTCTACAAAAAAAACAAAAGTTGCGCTGTGAATCGCCTCGATACATCGGGCGTTGGGTATCTTGGTGGAAAAAACTCAAACTCGCTGAAACACTCTATCTCTTGCGCCTCCCCTCCGCTTTATTCATCCCAGGGATTGAACCCAGGCCCGTGGCCTCCCTGATCATAATCACCCTCGTCGTCCTCCTGCTCATAAGTCTCCTCCTCATGGTGTGGGTAATCCTCCTCGACACCCTCTTCCTCGTACGCAGCGGCGGTGTCGTGATCCTCATCACCCGCAGCCTGAGCCGGAGCCGGATCGTCGGGCATCTCTTCATCATCCCCTGCTCCATTGTTGCTGGCGGCGGCACTCGGCATGCCACTTTGGGTACCAGCAGAGCCAGGACCCCCCTGATTGAGGCTAAAGAGAGTGTCCATGTTGCCGTAATTGAGCTTTGTGCTGATCACGAGCGCGCGGTTGGCAAGCATCTGTGACATAGCCTCCGACGCCGAAGCAGCAGGCCCGGATTGACCCTCTCCAATGCGAGCCTTTTTCCCCTGGCTCTTCTTCTTAGGCTTGTTTCTCGCTACCTTTGCCTCAAACGTCTTTTGCTGCAGCTGGCGAAGCCAGTCCTTGTTTTGGTTATACCAAATTTGGGACTTGACCTTGCTATCTTCCTCGGACAAGCGGCAGAACATGACCTCGGGGTCATCCTCAAACTCGTCCTCCCGTATAATCGGGTCCAGAAGAGGATCGGCAGCAAGCGAGTTGGAGGCAGAGGCGGCAGGTGAAGTGCTGGCCTCGGCTTCCTCGTTGGAAGGTGTGTTGAGCGGAGCTTCGCCGGGCTGCTCATTCACGACAGCAGGAGCCTCCTGGGTAGAAGTCTCTGCAGCTGGGGTCTCTTCGTCTAGAATCGCCTTGGACACCTGAATGGCCGGCTGTTTCTCGAGCTGCTGTTCCAGGCGGGTGACCTCTTCAACGACGCGGGCAATGGCCGGATCCTCGATAAGTCCCTCCATGTCTGCCTCAATATTATCATCCTGGCTGTCGAAGTCGATAGCAAGCGTGGGTTTCGCCCGCTTGCCTTGCGCGGGCTCCTCCTGGACGCCCTTCGTTGCGTTCCCATCGCTGATGGGGGCGCCATTGACAGCCGGAGTGGAACCAGCTCTGGGCTTGATCGTCACCTTCATACCCGGAATAGCAATGCCTTGCTGTTGAGCCATCGCCATCTCGCTGCTCGCATCGTACTCGTGGCTGTTCCGATTCTCATCTTCGTAAAACTCCCGGTGCAACGCCTCCACTTCCTCTTCCTCCAATCCGTCCTCGGGCGCCCCCAAACCACCAATCAGGAGAGCGCCTTCATGATCGGTCAAAAGCTGCTTCTTCTTGGGTTGTTCATTGGGGTTGGGCGGGATCACGAAACCGTCACTGTCCACGTGGGGAGCTGAAGCTTCCTCAGCTTCCGAGTCCGGCGTGTCAGCATCAGCAGAAGTTCTCTGACGCTTGGGAGCGCTTTGCTGGTCAGGCTCTTGGGGATCTTCTGGGCTGTTGTCCGAGGCCTTCCTCTTTCTGGCTCTCTTGAGGTGCTTCTCGAGCCACTCCCTGGACTGCTTGTAGACAACAGGGGGATCATGAGAAGCCTCGGGGTGCATCTCGTCACCTTGCATAAACTGCCTGATGCTGAGACTGGCAGCGGGGACGGCGGCGAATTCGGACATGCGTTCCTGCAAAGTGGCCATCGTGACCTTGGCGACGTAAACCACCTCCCGAACAGTGCGCCGGAAGTTGTGCGCGCGAGCAGCCATGATGATAGCAGCGCCAGAGATACCCGCGGGCCGGCGACCAATGCTGATATTGTCTTTGACCATGCGGTGGGCGATGCGAAGTGCCGAGTTGGCGACCTTGTTGGTGTCATGGAGGAACTCTAGCTTGGCGGCGAAACGAAAGATCAGATTCTCCAGTGTGAGAGGGTCGTATCCAGTGTCGAATGTGGGAAGCCGTCTCATGAGCTCTTTGTAGTTGCGACCAAGAAGGAACACATCTGTCTTGACGATGTCGGCCAGATCGAGGAGCATGATCTGTTTCTGATTTGCAAGGCGGCAGGCGGCATACATGCAAACAGCGGCGACGTTGTGCTTGCGGCGGCCCTTGACGTAACTGGCACGAACAGCTTCCCTGTAGATGTCCATAGCTGTGTCTGCAACATCAAGAGGCACAGAAAGCTGGTGAACCATCTGGCTGCAGAGATCCCTGGTCTCTCTCTCGGCGCGCTCACGAGCTTCCTTGAGGCCAGCGCCGGGAACCCGACGAAAGGAGAGTCCCATCCCGGTTGGGCGGACGCCACCCTGGTTTGCACCGAGATAGCTACCTTGGACTGTGGCAGCTCCGTTGGAAGTCTCGCCGAAGGTGATCTCGGCGACGATGTCGTGTTCGCGGAGGACCAAACCGCAGTCCGCGCAAGCTCCTTCTTGGATGTCTGTGCTACCGCAGTTTCTGCATTTTTCCGAACTGCTTGAAGAGCCCTTCGCCTGAGCCGCCGCGGGGGCAGGTGAGGGAGACGGGGCGACGGACAGCTGTCTCCTGCGGTCCGTGTTGTCCATGATACGACCAACGCGATTCGAGCGTTTGTTCTTGGGTTTGGGCGGCATGATTGCTGGTTTGGCTTGTTGTCCGTCTAAAATCGTGTTGTTCTTGTTGAGAGAAGAGAAAAGGGGGTGGCGGTGGATGGTTGGCTGTTGTGAGAGCCGTGAGAGATGAGTTGGTGGTGAAGATTGATGGCCGGCAGCAAGTCTCAAGGTTGCAGAGAGACAAGCAAAGCAGCCGACGCGTTCGTCGCCCACCAGAAACAGCTTTGGCGGGGCTCCTCTGCCAGGAGAGACTGCAGAATCGCGATTTCAAAGCTGGCAACTCGCAGGAGATGGTGATGCCCTCAGGCCAACTCTTCCGTGAAAGATGAGAATAAGGGGGGAAAGGGGTGTAACACGATTGGATAGAATTCCTGGCCAAGGGCGGTGATACTGGTGCGGGAAAAGAGTTCTGCGAGGTGAGAACTGTGTGTGGGGATTGAATTTTGCAAAACTGGGCGAATGGTCAAGCGGGGTGTTGAGGGCTCTGCCAAAAAAGTCGGTGGAAAGCTTGGGCCACTGGGTGAGTCAGCAGTCTGACAGGGGTACGAACGTCAGGATTCGAACACGGCTCCAAACACTTTTTTGCGAGCTTTGCATTCGGCCCATCGATGGACAAATGACGGCGTTCAACAAAAGACTGGTAGATTTGCCTAGTGCCCTGCAATTCAAACATTTTCAGCTCTCTCGCTGCCAACCCGCCATCTCAGTCTGCCCTCAAGCCGTTGATTGCCTGCGCCCACCCGTCCTCAATTCACTTCGTCACCGTCCATTCGACTGCCAGCGACCCTGGGGATTACGGGCCGGCCCTCCTTCTTCGATGTTTGGCTTTCCACACTGCCACAGGTACCAACAACCTTGATGTTGTACCCACCACCAGGCGGAACTGCCAATTCGGGCCTGTCTCAGCTGAGAAACTCCGACAGCAGCAACGTCGCAAATGCCGTGCTCAAATGCAAATCCGGCAGGTGAGAAGCCGCCCCGCTTCCTTCCACCGGGCAGCAGACCCCGCTGTGGTGCGCCTCAGCGACTCGAGTGACCACATGTCGTGATGTTTTGCAGCAGCAGCGTTTAACGTCCCCTTTTCTCGTATTCATGTAGCTATGCCTCAGTCCATGCTTCAGTATAAATATCTTTGCTCACTCTCACTCCTTTGACATCCCATCATCCATCATCAACCCACCTCCGTAAAACCTCAAAATGTCCTCCTCACCCTTCACCATCCGCGCCCCCCCAGCAACCGACATCTGGCGCAAGCCCCCCTCCAAAGACATCTTCAACGGTACCTCCCCTTTTTCTCCCACCCCTCCAACACCACCTCGCTAACCCCCTCCAGCACCAACATCCACCCCCTCCCACCTAACCCCCTCCTCCCCCCTCCCCCTCTTCCTCTCCACAACCCTAACCTTCCGCCTCCCCTACAACCACCAATACGACCAATCCGGCCTCCTCCTCACCTTTTCCTCGCCTTCCTCCCCCTCCCTCAAAAAGTGGATCAAAGCCGGCATCGAATACTACAACTCCTCCCCCCGCCTCTCGGTAGTCTCCTGCGACAACTGGGCCGACTGGTCCGTCTCCGCCCTCACCCCCGACCCCGACACCTCCACCCCCTGGACGACAATCTCGATCCAAAAAGAGGGAGACGATAACGGGGTGTCCCTCTGGGTCTACCAAGTCCTCAGTGATGGGACCAAGGTCCCCGTGAGGGAGATTTGCTGGGTTTATGGGCTCGCTGACGTGGAAAGCTGGACGGTGAAAGTCGAGGCTATGGCGGCGAGACCGGCAAAGGGGGAATTGGGGGAGTTGGTGGCTGAGGTGAAGGAGATGGACGTTAAGTGGAAGGAGTAGAGAGCTGTGGATGATATGGTGAAGGTGGGGCGTAAGGGGGTAAAGGGGTGAAGGCGGTTTGGTCCTCTGGCAGTATGAACCAAACACCTCATCACGTCACAGCACCAAAGCAAGGGAACAAATATCTGAGGTGGCCGACTCTTTTTCGTCTCCCATTAAAATCCTAATCTGACCCTTTAAGCCATCATCGCTAGGACTCAAGGTGTGCTGTTATGTTTTTTCTGGCAAGCCCTGTCTGTGCATAAAACAAGGCTCCTCCTCAAAATTGACCAAAAAAAAGAAGATTCGTTACGTATCATCATCAAAAAAAGTTTCGTGACAAGTAAAGAGATACAAGTGAATGTATATCCTTCTTCTTTTTCCTCAAGTCCAGCAAGATGTAAAAAAAAATTACCGGCAATCCATGCAGGCAAGCAAAACACCGGAAAAGCTCCACCCAATCCCTCCCTCCCCAACCATGATCATCCTGATTGTGGTAAACGCTGTCGATTTGTTGCAAACAAAAAGACAAAAGAAATAGAAATTGTTGTTGTGGTTTGTGTTTCTCTTTTTTTGTCGTGGATATGTTTCTTTTTTTGCTGCTCATAAAAATGCACATTGGGGTTTGCGAATAGATCCAAGCTAAAACCCCGGGTATTGTTGTTCAATCTGAGAGTGGTGTTGGAGACGTCCACAATTTGTGTGACGCTGCGTAAAGTTGAGATTGGCCGTTCCGTTCCGTTTCCGTGGTCCCGGAATTGAAAAGAGCAAAAAAAAAATAAAAATAAAAAATTGTCGTCTTCGTCGTCAAGTCCAGCAAGCTGGAAATGAGACAGAAAAAATAGTACACAATCCATGGTTTTGGGGGTGGGGGGGGGGGGTTGACTTTTTTTTGTGTGGTTTTCTCAGTGTGTGAGATGAGTGTGTGTGCGGCAAAGACGTGTTTTTGTTTGTTTCCATCATGAAAAGACGAAATTGACGGTGAGGGTATCGATGAGAAAAGGCTTCCTGTTCTTAAAACACCTGCAACAAAGTCCCTGCTCTCTCCGGATGTGAATCGATCGACCAGAGAAGACTAGCTCCCCCAGCCAACTGGAAACACTCCAGAGATATCAGAAACCAAAAAAAACAAGTCCCAAAAACAGCCCGACGCTCCAAAAAGCAAGAGAAATCAAAGCAAAGAAGAAGATTCAGAGAGCAGAGGGGAAGGGTTTTGTGAGCTGCGGCAATGTCTCCTCTCTTTGCAACCACACTCACATCGTGTATCGGCATTAGGCCCCCTCACTTCGCAAATCTTGTACATCAAAAATAGGGAATTGGTCGGCCAACCTTGTAAGAAGTGAAGAGATTTCAGTGTGAATGAAATGTCTCCCAAATGGTGTTTCCAATCTGATGTGAAGATCTGGGAGATGTGGATGAGAAAGACCCAAAACGCCGGATGTTGAGTAAGAGCAAAAAGAAGACGCAAGCCCATCACGGTCAAATCCCCTCGACATGCGCAATCCAAATATTCAGCTTCCTGCCCTTTGTATAGAGATTCCTCCTTGTCATGCTTTGGTAACGCCAGATATCTGTCTGCTGCCTTCCACGCGTGCAAGGTTCATTCAGTTCACCCTCTTAGATCGTCTTGGGGGTCCGCGCGTTGCTCGCATCGATGACGTCGTCGAGGTGGTTGCACATGGCAACAAACAGATCAAAGAACAACTTCCCACTTCCCTCGCCGTACACGTTGTCGCTGCCGCACTTCTCCATCTCGGCCTGCATGGTGCCACTGCGCTTAAAGGTCTTGCGGCACCGGATGATGAGTGCTAGGTAATGGGCGCGCAGACGGCTGTCTGAGTCGGGCGTGTTGGCGTAGCAGTACTGCGCGCTGCGGAGGATGGTGCCGACGTCGATGCCGGCCTGCAATCCTTGCTTCCGCAGCGCCAGCCTCTTGAGCTCCTCCAGCCCAAAGCGATCAGCAGCGCAGTAGATGGCCGTGTCGCGAAGGATGTGCTGGCCGATGCCCGAGAGGAACACGGTCGCCTCGACAGCCGCAGGGGTCTGGGGGGTTTGGCCTGCGCGGCCACCTCCGAATTTAGGTGAGTCGTTGATCGTCGGGGAGGTTTGGGGGGTGACCCGACGGGGAAGCGAGTCCTCGAGCTCCCAAGAGTTGCGCTGCTTGTTGTGCAACAAGCGGGGGTAATAGTCGCCCTTGTAGAGATATTCGAGGATTCCGCTGAAGACCTCTGGCTCCTCGTCCGGGAGGGAGATCCTTCTATTCTGCGCATCGGTGAAGTTGCTCCGAATCACCCTCTCGAAAAAGGGCGACTGGCAGAGCACATCTTCGTGCGCTGCAAACAGCCGTGCCTCTGCGCCCACCACCAGGGTGACGATGGGTGAAGGGGCAAGAGACTTGTCGTTGAGCCTCGTCTGCACACTCTGTGTACGCGAGGTCTCCTCGTTGTTATTGAGCGACCGTTGCAATTTCGACACTTTTTGGGCATCCCGCACGGAGCCCTTCCTCATCAGCCTCGCGGCCTTGCCCACGCGGTGTTGTGAATCCATCGTCGTTGAGGCAGCCTCCCGCTGGGAGTTGCATGGTCTCACGGCTTCGGAAAGAACGCTTGAACATGTTGGCGGTTGTGTTGTTGTTCTCGGGTTATCGGCGAAGCTGATAGCGGTAGAGGAGGTGTATGGGAGTGGTGGTGACAGCGGTGATGATGGTATGGTTTCGGTTCGATAAAGAACTCTGAGGCGTGCGGGATGAGGCAAAAAGACAGCAAAAGACAAGTCAGACTAATGTCTGAATTACTGCAACTGTCTAGTTTCCATGTATGTTCTCAGAGAGTGACGAAAATAATGAATGAAGGCCCGAAGGAAAAGCAAGAGAAAAAAGAGTGAGGGGGGGGAGAGAGAGAGAGAGAGAGAGAGAGAGGCACAAAAACGATTGACAGGGTCCGGGGGCGGAGAGGTCCTGAAGAGAGAACTCCAGAAAGACTCCAGAGAGCTTTGCGACCCGTTGGTTGTGTGAAGAGGGGGGGGGGGAGGAAAAGAGGAAACGGATGCAAAAGCTGCGGGGGGTGGGAAAGTATTTATATGCAGGAGGTGGGGGGTGATACAAAGAGAGGTGTGTGCCTGGGAATAATCCATGATCGACAAGAAAAACAAGCAGGGCTGGGGGCCGGCTGCAGCTGTTCTTGTGCTGTCACTTATGAATGGACGGATAGCAGGTGTCGTCGACGAGCTGCCTCAGGCATCGTCACTATCTGGCATCCGAGTGACACATTGCTCGTACGCAATTGATCTCTTGCGCGGCATCTTGCGATACCTTCTCGATTTCAACATTGCCGCGGTCGTCGTCAGCCCTGAAGACATGGCCGTTGTGAATTTAGCGTGCAAGGCGGCCCTGGTTGTGGGTTTTTCGAGCAGGGGTTTGCACTGTGGCACTTCAGATGAGGGGTAGCTCCATCCGTCCATGAACTTCCATCACAACAGCTCAACTATTGTTGCAGAGTTAGCTAAGCAGTCCTGTATTCTCCATTGGATTGATATAAACGGACAAATGAAATGTTTTGCCATTGTATATGCATCCTCTAGGAAAGTTTGGGAACGATTCCAACAGGTCCAATTGTGCAGCATGGTTTTTGCCTCTGCGGGGCACGTGTTCAGCAACCCTCCAGTGACAGCGAAGCAAGAATCGGTTTCACGGCACAGCCTCACCTGCCGGCGCTTGCTCTCCTCTGCACAACCCGGGAGGTCTCGGCGGACACTTGCTTCTGACAGAATTGTGTGCGTGCACGCCCGTGATATCGTCTCCCGGACAGACACACACACCTCGGTATGGGGGGGGGGGGGTGGTACCTGGTATAGGTCCATCAAAGACCCATAGATCGAGTCACACTAGCCACGCGGCACATCCATCTCCCAATGAGTGTCTCCTCCCATTGGGCCGTGATGGAGAGTCCTGCACTTCGACCTGACTGAACTGGCGGTATCCGCACAGCTTCCATCTTCGGGTGAGGTTGATGGGAAAAGGGCAGCAGGGCGGTTGACTGGTCAAGGGGAACCAAGCTTACCCCACACGAACCACTGTGGTGGGAAGGTGGGGCCATTTTTAAGACAAGAATGGAGCGGCGGGCCGCCCCTCTTGGCCGGCACGCCGGCCAGGGCTCCCTTGGTGAGCTTCCACATCAAACTACCCCTGTCAGCCTCACGATTTGGAGCGTTGCCGGTGCAAAGAAACTGCAAGTCATGAGAACTGAAGTCAATGATTGCCTCTATTGTTTCAACTTGCGTTAGTGTACACTACCGGACAGGATCCCCCGCATCAGTCATGACAATACCAATCTTCCATCAAGAACATAACGATGCATGTCAAACACCACCTCCCCTCACATGAGTCACCCCTCCTTCACCAACAGAAATTGACTTGGTCCGATATGTCGCCTTGTCGCCTTGTTTACTCGTCCAAGAGCGACCTGTTGTGGGCAGGCTGCTTCTTGTCCCCGTCATCCTTTTGAGTCATGTTCTCGCGCATGCCAATGAGTCCATACATGAAGGCGAAGACTGTGGTTCATGATGTCAGCATAGTTCGAACCATGAAATTGCTGCAAATGGCTGCTCACCTGCAGGTCCAAGGCACAAGAATCCTGCAACATACGACGCAATGTACTCGGTCTTCTTCATGATCTCGGGATCCATCCAGAAGAATGGATACAAGCCGGTGAACCACTTGCCGAAAGCGGCCCAGCCAAGGTAAGCCGAGAGAAAGAATACCGTCGCGATAACGTGCGCAGGAACAGGGACCTGGCGCTTGATGCTATTCAAGACAAAGATCTCGAAGAGGGCAATGAGCGAGGTAGCCAGGTAGAGATTAAGAATGCAGAACGGCTCAAACCATCCGTGGCCCCAGAAATCCTTCCCTATTGTCTCATGAGTAAATTCCCAACCAAACGGTCCGTTGAACCAAACGTCACTCACAAGTTGAATCCGAGACCGGCTCGCCTTCCTTGCCCTTGGGAAGGTGACCGTACCCCTTCGGCACCAAGATGCACCAGTAAATGAGCGTGTTCATAAAGACAAACACATGGGAGATGGTGTAGAAGATGCTGAAGTACAAGCGCTTGCGCGACTTTGGTGTCTGAAGAGGTGGAGACATCTTGCACAAAAGCACAGATTCCCAGCTGTTGTCATCCTCGTCGACGTCGGGGAAAAAGAGATGGGTAAAGCTCCAACACTGCAAAAGACCAAAGACGTCAGCGACCGTTCCTTGGATAGCTACTCGGAGGACCGACTCACAAAGGTAATGAGGTGATAAAACCAGAAAAGGAGATAGGCCATTGAGGCAAATTCGAAGAAGATATGCCAATTGGGCTTTCCCTCATTGTGGGGATATTCGTGGTGAAACTTGTAGCGCAAGAGCATGCCGGCGAGGCCAGTGAGGTAGCAGAAGATGAGACCGCGAAGGTACACCAAACAGCTTTGGCTAACCCATGGCCATGGGGAATGGCAAACTCGAAGAAAGATGGGATGGTCCTGAACGGTTGAGGAGCTGTTGGCCACAGGAAGACCTTGGCGAGTCGACAAGAGCGGAGCTCGCTCTTCGGTAGACATTCTGGCCGTACTCAAAGAGACGGTGTTTTAGAGATGCGAAGGCAGCGTGGGCAGATGGGCTCTGCGTGAGCTTTGTGTAAACAGATTGAGCAAAGAGCGAGAAGCAATGGCTATAAAACAACTGACAACCAAAAGACCTGTTGAGGGAGATGTCGAATCTTAGAGGATCGAAGGATAGAAGAGAGAGAGAGGTGGCCTGGATGTAAGAACAGAGGAGAAGTTGAGGGTCTGAGTCTGAAAGACATCAATAAGGCAGGCACGCCTTCATCAACTCAGACCATCCGCAGGCCGGTTGGAAGGTATGAGCAAGAGAGCTTGAGCTGTGAGAGATAACAAGACGGGAGGCAGCTGCAAACACGATCCCGATGAACCGGGCCCGTGACGTGGACCAGAATAGCCATCAGGCACTTACTTGCCTTGAAGGCTACGTTCAACATGGAAGGAAGGTGTCAAACGACTGGAGCGAAATCGTCTCGAGACAGACGTAGCTACCAAGAGAGAGTTGACTTGGACGCTTCCAGTCAGTGGTTCTGAAGAAAAGCATAACTCTCATGTAGATGCAAACACATTGCTAGCCGGTGCTTATGGAAGTCAAGAACAGTATAATGGTCTCCAAAAGTTGAACATCTCCAAAACCACAAAAGGATCTCAGAAAGTCAATGACCCACAAAAAGCGGCCCCACTATTTGCATTACGCTCCAATCACAAACTGCCAATTCGACACCGTGGTCTCCGCGCCCATCAGCCATTCGATCTCCTGGAATTCAAGACAGCTCTTCCCAAGCCGCAGCAACGGACGTCTCCTGCCGGCTGCACCTCACACACCAATCTCCCCATATACCGCAGACATGTTATCAGCCTTAGGAAACCCGCGGCAGGCCGCCGCCCAGCTCATGAACTTTGGCCTGATACTGTCCACGGCTTTTATGGTGCGTTCCCTGCCAACCAGCTCCCCGAGTAGGCCAGCTAACAAAATGAATAATAGATGTGGAAAGGTCTCTCCGTCATCAGCGATTCCCCCTCTCCGATCGTCGTCGTCCTCTCCGGCAGCATGGAGCCTGCCTTCCAAAGAGGAGACCTGCTTCTGCTCTGGAACCGAAATCTGTTTACCGAAACGAGCGTGGGCGAGGTGGTGGTGTACAACGTGAGGGATAAAGATATCCCAATCGTGCACAGGGTTATCAGCAAGTTTGGCACTGGGTTCGTTATTCCGCGGCAGTGGTGGCTGTTTATGGGGATTTGTGATTGACAGGTGGTATTCTAGGCCGACTGCAAAGCTCTTGACCAAGGGAGACAACAACGATTCCGACGACACGAAGCTCTACGCCCCCGGGCAAAACTACCTGGTTAGGGAAGATATTATTGGGTGCGTTGCTCCTACTTAGTGACCAGCATTGGTCTTTCTGGGCGGATGCTAACATTGAAGCAGGAGCGTTGTTGGATATATGCCTTTCGTCGGCTATGTCACCATCATGCTGTCTGAGCACCCATGGATGAAGACGGTGATGCTCGGGATAATGGGCTTGGTGGTTGTTTTACAGCGGGAGTAAAAAGTGTTAAAAGGCAAAAGAGGTTCAAGCACGGCGCGATTTCGTGTCAAATCTTTGGTAATAGTACTGACAGCTTCCCTTTTATGAACATGATACCCCATACCCAACAGGCACGGCCAAGTTGATATTTTCACTGCGGAAGAGTGAAGCAGGAACTTTGCCTCCAACGGACGCCGCACGGTGGACGAAATCAGTGACATGAATCACCAAGCAAGGCAACTACAGCATTTCCAACAGGCTTCGTTGAGTCACTGGAGGGTTTATTACGGAGTAGCACCCTACACAAGTCCCATGCATCTCGTTATTTCCTCACAAGCACTGACCAAAATTCCCCAAAACATCACAAAACGGAGCTCTTGGCGGTCCCCTCGTTCCACCGCGAACCAATGCCAAGCGACAGCTAACCCCTGTGGTCTGCACCAACAGCCAGGGGGCGGCCCTAAGGTCCAGAGTGATGCCTGGAAAGCAATTTTAAATAGACGACGTCGTCGTCGCTGGTGGTTCGTTCCACTTGTTTCCCCTCTCTCTTCATTGATGGGATTTCTCTCGTCAATCGCGCTCGTTTTTTCCCCTATGAGTCCCAACTGAGTGTTTGCGCGACATCATATCGCGCCTTGAGCTTGATATTTACCGAGTAACATCCGGGCCATCAACTCGCGCCCACGACTGAGGTACTTATCAGCGCTTATCGGAAATAGAAAGGACGGACGGGCTGGATGATGGCAGGCGACGACAGCGCGGCTGCACAGCCAAAACCGGAGGAGCCCAAAGCCGAGGCTGGGACTGAGCAAAAGAAGCAAGGGGTTGTTGAGGCTGTTGCCGAGGCTGTTCCTGAGGCCAGTCAACCGCAGCAGAGGGATGTTAGCGATGCCGGTCAACAGCAGCAGGAGAGCGTTCCTGAGGGCAGTCAACAGCAACAGGAGAACGTTCCCGAGGCCAGTCAACAGCAACAGACGGAGGTAAACGATGCCAACCCAGCACCCTCGCCAACCCACCAGGAGACGCAAAAAGGTGGGCAGCCATCGGGCGGTGCTGTACGGTTCGACACGCTCCCAGGCCCTCATCCAACGGCCCATCTGCAGCCGGTGTTTGGAACATACGACGCCCGGCGCGAGGAGGATGAAGTCCCTTATGAGATCCCGCACAACCCCAAGTGGCACAAGGTCAAGATTGGGCTGATGCTCTTTGCTGTTGCGGTTTCGGCCGTGATCATCGGGTTGAGTGTTGCTACGGGGTATATCTCTGCGGGAGACTACGGGTACTGGTATATTCATGAATCAGCGTACATTTCCGGTGTTTCTGCCTCGGCGGTTTGTCTCCCTTCTCTCACCTCTCTCTCACTGTTGGAAAGTGCTAACATCACCAGGCGATCCTCTCCCTCGTCTTCATCGTCATCGAGATGTTGACCATGTGGTTCTCCAAAGACCACCGTGGCCTGCACCCAGGATGGCTAATCACCTTCAACCTCGTCGTCGGTGCCCTTGCCGTGGCCGGGTTCGGCATCATGGTTTACTATGTCACCAACGTAGGGGGATAAGACGGTTGGTCCCGGTATTTCGACAACGAGGACACAGCAGACAAAGAACTCGCACTCTTCCAGGCCCTTTTAGCCTTTGACTTTGTGTTATTCTTCACTCACCTCGTCTTGTTCGTCGGTGCCTGCGGCGAGGCTCACCAGCGGAACCGAGCCAGACGGGAGGTCCAGATAGTGGAGATCCCGTATGATCCTTCCCACCCTCTGCCCGCCGGGTTCCAGTATGTACCACATCCAACTTTGCAGCACCCACCACCACCACCTCCCACCCAACAAATGCCAGGAAGCTGGGTACCCCAACAACCACGACGACAACCACAGCGTGTGTCTGTTCATGGGGTTATCCCCTACATCACACCCGAACAAGCGGCTCAATACGGGGGTTACTACTCCCCTATGCCGACGCCGGCGCCTCCTCAGCAACCTCAACGAGTGAGAACAAGCCAGAGGGGGCATTACGCCCCGGCGCCGTATAACCCTTTTGTGCAGAACGCCCCGGCGCCGCAGCAGCAGCGGTCTTCGATGCGTGGTGCCAGGGCTGCGGCGGGACAGGGGAATGTTGCTGCGGCTGAGAAGACGACGAAACGGGCTTCTGCTGCTGCGGCGAGGAAAAAAGAGATGCCGTTGCCGGAGATACCGCTGCCGGAGGTTCCAACGGAGGAGGAGGAGGAGGAGGGGAAAGGAGAAGGGAAGGAGAGGGAGGTTGTGCTGTCAGAGAAGGTTGGGGGTGGTGAGAAAGAGGAGCCGACGAAGGCCGTTACAGAGGGTGGGAAGGCCGAGCCGCCGGTAAAACAAGAGGAGGAGGTGAAGGAGGAGGAGGTCGTGGCTGAGAAGAGTGAGCCGGCGGCGCGGGTAGAGGTCGTGACCGAGAAGGGCGTGGCTGAGAAGTGAAATATGCCAGCCATTTATTTGTATGAGATGTGTTATTAATGTGGATACCCAGTGCGATAATAATGCTCTGTTTTTTTTTTTTTTTGTTTTGTTTTTTTGGAAACCAAGTTTCCTTGATCTGGTGCTACTGGAGATGCTTGTGTGCGGAGTTGCCAAGGTCCCGCTTTGAGCCCCTGAGTCGTTCAATCGGCACCGCACATGCCGGTTCAAGACCTTTTGATTGGGGTTGATGCTGTCAACGGCGTCCTTGTGGTTTGTTGAGGGGGTTGTGCAAGTGATGTCATGTGTTGCCTTGGACCCTTTCTATTTCATGATCAAATACAGCACCCACTGCTCAACTCCATCTCCCTCATTCCCTTCTTCTCATCAAACAATCACGACAAACCCCCAAGAGCAATCATGTCCTCCAAGCTAATCCCCAACACGACCCAAGACGCCGACACAGACAACTCGTACGTCTCCCGGCCAGGCCACAAGCACGAGCCAGTGCAGGTCATCGCCGACGAGCAAGCCAGGGACGAGGTGAAAAACAACAACCAGACCAACAACACAAGCAGTGATCAACTCGGTTGGTGACCTCCCCGCCCCTTGTCAAATGAGATCTCACAACAAAAAAAAGGCACGACCAGACAAGAAAATCAGACTGACAGCAGAAAAATCCCAGACAAACAAGCCATCGACCAATCCAACATCATCTTCAGCACCAAACCCGTCACCCGCGGCGCAGCTCCCGCAAAGGGGGCCTACAAAGAGCCCACTGACACCGAGGGCCTGCCGAGGAATGATGGGCGGAGCTCTGTCTAGAACACATCTCTATCTATCTTAGCTTAAAGTTCCCAAAGAAATCAAACCTTTTCATCTCAATATGAACCTTCTATTATCACGACGTGAGATCCAGCCATGCAGTTTCTTTCGTCCATGTTCAACTAGCAACTTCATTAGAAAACTTCTTCTTACCAATTCAGGCTGTATAAGGTAGGTAGTGTCTCAACTGATATCATGTGGAAAGAAAGCGTGGGTAGGTGTACATTTATCTATCTCCACCCAACCAACAATAACCAACATAAAAAATTCATATCCTCTGCAAAACCAAACCAGCCCAAAATGACTTGCCCGAGGTGTATATATATATATATGCTCCAACCCCTTCCCAACCCATCCCAAGACAAAACAAACCGAAACCCCCATCAAACCCCCCCATCCAACCCCTTCTCCACCCCCGCCGCCCGTTCATAATACCCCTCCCACAACCCCCTCAACTCCTCCCTCTCCCGCTGCAACCTCACATGCTCACTCTCCAGCGTCTGTATATACAACCTCGCCCGATCCAGCACCTCAGCCTTACTCACCTTCCTCTCCCTCTCCAAACTCGGCGCCCCCCCATCCCCCCCCAAATATGTCGTCTGGTACGTATTCTGATACCCATCTCCCATCATCATCCCGCCCACACCAACCCCCGACGGCAACACCTCCAGCAGCTTATCAAAATGCGTGTTGAGCCTATGCCGGTACTTTTGCTCAACCATATTATGCCTAGTGCGGGCGTTATGATGACCTTGCCTGCCCGTCGAAACAGCCTGCTCCTGCTCCGAGTCACAGTCCTCTTCAGGGAGTGAGTTCGGTGCCGCGCTGCCGCTGGATATGGTTGACTGGCTTGTGGGAGAGGAGAGACTCGTTGTGGGAGCTGATGGTTTCTTTCCTTTGCTCCTCTTGGCCGCCGCCGCCGCCGACTTGTGAGGTCGGCGATCACCGTGTGGGTTCATGGTCATTGTATCAATCGTCAAGCCTTGAAAAGGGGGGTTGGCGGCGTGGCTTTTTTGACGTTTGCTTGTTGACGGTGGATATTGGTAAGGAACACCACTGCTTCTCTCGCCAACACCCATCGTCACACGAGGGTCCTCTGCATATGGCGTGAAGGATTGAAATTGGGGGCCCCAGCCAGTCGGTGGAGGAGGACCCTGATTCATCACCCCTCCGTCAAGCTCGTCGTGTATCTGCCCGTAGGGAAAGCTGTGCGGACCGGAAGACATGCTCAGTGAAGCGTTGTCATAGGCAGACACCGGCTCGGTTGGGGCATAGTAGGAGCTTTCTGGCATGAGGGAAGTGATACCGCGGGAGTCATAGTCCCCGTATGCTCCGGTGTTGCTGAAGCGATCAGTCGGCGAGATCGAGATCGAACCCCCCAAAGGGGAAGTTGAGCTGGGACACAAGACGGATGCATTGGCATGGTCCTGCTCCTGAATGTCGAAAGCTAAGGGGTATGATGGAATGTTCTGGTTGGCGGTTGTCAGCTGAGGTCCCTACACTGCAACAACAGGTCACCCCCTCCCGAATAGCCGAGTCGTTGTCAAAGACGGAACACATGCTATAAATACAACACGGCAGCATTGAGGCTACCAGTCATGCCATCTCAACGGTTGCGGTAAGGGACCGAGGTCCCGAACCGATCCATATGGTCCTGACAAACGTCACCGTGCATCATGTAGGGACATGAGATGGCCCAAAGGGAGCTAACGAAATAGAGATGAAAACAGAGTCATGCCAAGGACTGAGCCGTACCTGTTGGTTTTCGTCATCGTAGTGACCACCGTAGTAAGTGTTGTCCATGTCTGAAACCGAAAGAGCAAGCTTGTTGAAATGACCGTATGATGCAGAGCATGTTCATGATACTGATGGGAGGTCACGATACCGGAAGGAGGTCCGGATCACGACAAACTTATACCACGAACAGTCCCCCCTTCGTGTGACCAAGCGACATGGCGACTGCCCTGTGATGTCGTAGAGGGTGATGAACCCAGCCAGACCATGGCAGACATTTCTTCTTCTGGACCAACTATGTCAACTCTGGGGAGGCGTCGGCTTCATTTGCGAGCCAGGTACAGTGTTTGAATCGAAAACGGACATTGTGCCAGAGGCTTGACCAATGCCGCCAAAGGCGCACACTCGACACACGGGTAGCGGCCGATAATGCTCCTGTCTGGAAGCAAGGGGAACGTGCATATCTGACCATAAGTTGGCAGCGGCCCGAGCCAGTTCGGGGCACGATGCAAGCTACTACAACCAAGATCTATCCAAGAAAATAGTCAGGTCAGTGTCTCTGAATCAATCGATTTGAAATCCCCGTCGCTCCTCTTTCCAGGTCCAGCCCCGAGCATGTGGTTCGTGCCGTTCCCCAAACGAGACTCGGCAAAGCGGGAGATCGACATGGTTGTCAAGGGCTGCTGTACATGTACATATTCAGAGGCTGCCGCGGCGGAGATTGGAGCCAGTATTCTGTGAGAAAAATAAGCTGTGGTTCGATTTGGCTCGCCGATCATGCCATTGCGGTAACTACCGACTCAGCCCTAGAATCGTGGCGTCGAGTTCTTTCGAACACTCGATCTGATTGACCCCTGGCGGCGAGCCCAACAAGTCCAGTGCTTTTCTGGAACAACATGCAGATTCGGGTACTGATCGTCCGCTCAGCAATCATGTCCAAGTCGCCATAATCTTGGGCACTAAAGAGCTGGAGTCGGATAAAGCACTCGCCTTGATTCCTCGACCTCGTCTCGCGCTCTCTTCTTCCACGCTCGGCACTTGGCTAGGGGTAGGGGCTGAGACACGGCGCATCCAGACAAACATGGTCTCATTTCCACGAGGGAGAAAGCCACGCATGCCATGTTCGCAGAGCAGACAAAATCCGGGATGACGTGAGTCCCTGCTTCTTTGCCAGTTCGAGACATGGCAACTTGTGTCGCACAACATCCTCGACAACCCTCCTCGTGGGTTGAGAGAGGCGGTCCCAAAGTTCCGGTTGAACGGTTTTTCGGGTATTGTATCCCTCGTTTTTCCGAGGTGCGCGGGGTTGATCCAAGTTCATGGGGGTGGCTTGATATGGTAGAGGAACGGGCATCTCCGGAAAGTAATTCGAAGGTTTGTTAGCTAAGGGACCTCGGGAGTCAGAATCAACAACATCTCAAGCTTGGAACGTGGTGTACGGATACCGTAGGCATCATACCACCAGAAAAAAAGCCCTTGGCAGAACCGGTGAACGTGCTTCTGCGAGCGAGTGAGGGGATCCAACAGAGCGGCTGCCCTGCATGCAGACAACAGACTGGGCGTTCCGTCACCCATCGGGTCGATGTCTGATTCGATCGAGAACATGGAGGAGTCGTAATCGTAATCAATTCTGGGGTGCTTGTTGGAAGTTGTTTGTGGGTAAGGGTTGCTGGATTCCTGCCGACAACTGGACAAGCAGTGCCTGCCTGAAAAAGAATCCCTCCTTCCCTCAAAGCCCCGGTGGCTTTGGAGCGCCAGCTGTCCAACACTCTTGGTCAAGATAGCGCCTTCCCACACATTTTGACGGTCGAAACTTGTAAATCATGCATATGCATTCTACAGACAATGGATATGCAGGAGAAGCATCTCTTTCCAATCAGCAAGATACAACAAAGCAACAAAGCTGCTGTCAGAAGCAGCCACCCGAAACACATCTGCCAGATACCGGACCATGAAAACCTGATTGTGTTGGAGCAAACTCGTAGATGAATGAAGTACAAGTGCAAATACAGTAAATTTGGTTGGAAAAAGAAACGCCGATGCTATCAACCACAATTCTCGCCATGTTTTTCAAACAAGTTTCCATCCTTGATCCCCACCATCTGTCTTGTAACAGCATGCCATATTTTGAACTTGTACCGTGACCCTTTTCCCCATCGCGCCAGTGTGGAGACCGAAACCCGATACTTTTGACCAAAACCCAATCCAATAAAATGCAATCAAAGTCCTTGATTGGCTGCCTGAGCAACGGCTCCAGCCATGATGTCCATGTTCCTTAGCAGCTCTTTTCTTTCTCTGTTCAAGCGCTCCTTCTCCATCTCAAGTGCCTTGATACGTCTGGTTGCCAAATCCAACACCTCGGCCTTGCTCATTCTCTTCTCATCGGTTGCGAATCCATCACAGCCTTCTCCCTGACCCAGGTGACCCCCCTTGTATTGCTCGAGAGGAAGGACGGCCAAGAGGCGTTCGAACTGGGCGTTCAGCCTGTTGCGGTACTGTTTCTCGACAAGGTTATGATTGCGTCTGGCACGGCGTTCTTCAAGGGTGAGGTCATCATCATCACTGGCTGAACCGGGATTGTGAACGCTTTCAGCTGGAGATAGAGGTGTTGCTGGCGCCAAACTTCCTTTTCGAGCCTTGCGGGAGGCGGTACGCAGCTGAATATTGTGCTTGCCACGACCCTTTGATCTACTGGTGGCCTTGATCTTGTCGTTGGGCTGATGCTTGGCCGACGTGGACGACTCCTCAGACCTCTTGGTGTGTGTCACAGAATCTGCCATATCGATGGTGGCTAGTTCGCTCACTGGGGAGAAGAGCTCATGCTCGCAATACTCGCCCCCGGGTTCGCCCCTCCATACACCCGCTCTGGAACCTACTGAGCTGAGTGGTGTTGGTAAAGAGACTTCGGGGCTGAGATTGTTGGACAAGTGCCAATTTCCACCCACAAATGGAGTAAATGGAGTCCTCGACAAGGAAAAGAAGTCGCAGGATGGTTCCTCAAAGAACGAAGAAGCTGTGTACGGTGCGTCGGGCAAGCTCCATGGGACGACGTTAGCCCCGTAGCTGGCTTGACCCATATAGCCATAGCCTGGGGTGGGTACTGCCGACACCGAGGTCTAGATTCCAACGTACCTTGGTTAGCTGAATCCAGAAAGTGGTGAATGCAAAAGTGGCGTGACGCCGGGACTTGTCTGGTAACACCACGACCGCCACAATAAACCACGAATATTTCTCACCTCGTCAGCACCGGAACTCGCTTCCTTGATCATGATGCTGGTCTTCGTCGCGCTGGGTTCCATGACTTCTCCAAGGAGTATCTCGCAAGGGGTCGAACGCACGATAGTGGGTAAGATCGTTGTCTTGCGGCAGCACCCATGTGATGATGCTCTTGACGGTGAGCGTCAAAGGTAAGCACAACGGCGGAATGGAAGAGAGAACTGGGGAGAATAGCTGATAATCGTACGGTCGTACGTAGGATGCGTGTCCTAGTACCTCGGGAGAGCTGCTTTGCTGGTGGATATCTGGCCGTCCCGCTGGCTTCTGATCTCCAGGTCAAGTCTTATATAGAGGCTGGCCCCTTCGTGTTCACAGACCCCCCTTCTTCGCAAAGTCCCGCCTAGGTTCAATACCACTCCACGGCCCCTTCCCAGGACCACGCAGGGGGCCATGGGCTGCTCGAGTCCAAGAAGACGGCTGCTCCAGAGCCATTAGCGTTGCCGCTCCCGGCAGGCCGGCATAAGCAATGGAGAAAAGGAAGAGAATCGATCGGGCCGCCCACTTGTCCCTACTGCGGTACATCCTCCCACATCCCTTTCGAAGCCTGGGAGCGGGTCAGTCCGGGGGATCGAGCCTATAGCTGGGGATGATGTCAGATCATGGAGTCGTCCGCCATGTGCGTTGAGTGTTTGGGGGGGGAGCAAGCAGCCTACATGAAAATGGCGCCATGTCGGGCAGCTGGTGTGTGGTCCCATCTTTTGACAACTGCAATCCAGAACAGTCCAAGACTTCCCCCAGGGCTGTGTGAAGGCGTGTGTGGAAGACTGGTATGCATCTGCACAGGGGGTTTGACAGTTGAGAGGTGGGGTAGCTGGTCTTATCGTGCATTCCCTGCCAAGCCATTTGTCGAGGCCTTTAAGAACCTCAATGGACAGTTCCTTCCCGCACAGCAGACAGAGCAAACGAAAAGGAAGCCGCCAGGGACGAGATATCCACTACTGAGCAAGATCTTTGTGGAGTCTGCTCCATCAAGTCCCGATGCATGTCAATCCTTTGGGGCAGGGGAAAGCGAACCTGATGTGTCATGCCAAGAGGGGAAGACAGAGACTTCAATTCTCACGATCTCTGCTCAACAACAGACCCCTCTCCCAGCCAGCCTTATGGATACACACACAGCACATTATCCGCTCTGCCTACTGATGAGTATGAGTAGCTCTCGACACTCGGCATCAGCCTAGCTGTAGAAATGAGGGCCAAGTCTTTGCTGCTCCCAAGTCGATCCTCTCATCAGCACGAATGGCATGATGTTGGCAGTGGCTCATCCGAGCACCGATCTGTGTTTTTCCCAAGAGACCAAACTTCGGATCCCGAATGACCGATCCGATATCCCAGGACCCAGTTGCCACGAGGCAGCGGAGCTCACCGTCGCGCTTGAGGGCTCGGCGACGATCCGGCTTCTTTTATTATTTTCGCCAACCTGCTCAACTATCGTAGCGCCGTCCCAAAAACAGCCCCGCCAGAGCCGCTACTACCACATGCGTTTTTTTATGCTCGGTATCCTCAAAGCGGAAACAGCAAACGAAGTCTGTCATCGACAACGGTGGTGAAGCTCGTATTGCGGCGGCAACTAGCGGCACAACAAGGATCTTCGGTAGCTGTCAACGGTGAGCCCTACATACACTATTTCGACCGCGAGCTATCATTTTCTGTCTCTGGTTAGTGAGAAGCCATGTTTCAGGAGGATCAATCGGCATTTTGAGGGCTCCCAATAGGACAACATTGTCCCAAAGAGCTTTCGTTGAGACTGTTACTTGTACGGATTGACAACTCTTTCCGTTGACAATCGAGACAAGAGGGAGTTCGAGCTCTGTCAAGAACTTGGTTGCTACTCTCGGCAAGTTCGGAATCAGTTCCGAGAATAGACCTGAGTTGGCGATGTGCTTGCAGACTCAAGATGCTGGGATCAGTATGCTTCCTTTTCCCCCAACAACCAGACTCGGTCTGGACCAGGCATAGAAAGGCTAGCCACGGCTCTCGAGGTCATCACCATCAGCCTCTCTGCTCAAGTAACGAACCGGTCGAAAGGAAAGGCATAAACGCAGCCAGACGACCATACATGCACATATGCAGAGACTGCGCCCACACCTCTTCCCTCAGCCGCTGTTAAACTAAATATCTCAAAAGGTCTCCTACTCGACAAGCCTATCAAACTGATGGCCACCAAAATGGGCCAGAGCTTGGCGGATCTCGACCCCCATTGTCGACGTGGCACTACATGTCCCAGCCTAAGATTGGGCATCACGAGGCCAATGGTGTGGGCTTCGCCAAATCGACAATATGACTGGGGCTGCTGTTAGGGAGGTTGGTGTAAAACACAACACTGCTTTCTTCCCTTTTCACCCATTCTGTTCTTCCTTGAAGAGACCGCCCCATCTGCGCTTCCCCCCTTCGACCGCCGTCCACACGTGGACCGAATCAGCAACGAAGGGGCAAGCATGTAAGCAACCGATCGCAATTCACACCCCATGCTCCTGACTACAAGTCGGTATAGCGCAAACACCAACAACAGGAGCAGTTCATGACATGGATATATATATCTAGCTGAGATCGACGAGAACGGTACCTTTTGCGCACGCATACCAAAGCAAACAAAAGACAGCCGCTTCCTCCGGCATCCAGCCAGCCACGAATCAGTGGTCTCAAACGCCAACGCCTTCAGAGCAGGAGAGGTCGCACGCAATGGGGGCTCATGGATCGCGAGGAACTTGCCAACACCACCACAGCCATGTCTCACCACCATTAGTCCTTGTCGTCACCATCAGCGGCAACAGCAGCAGCGCTGCCCTCGGCGGCGGCAGGCGGTGCGGCAGCCTTCTTGACGCCCTTGGAAGCGATAGGGGGCTCATCCTCCTCAGCACCTTCCTCGTCTTCGACGTCATCATCGTCGCCTTCTTCTTCGCCCTCTTGATCCTCCTCTTGGTCATCTCCTTCGTCATCCTCGGCGACACCGTTCTTGTGGCCGTTCTTCTGAGGCGCATCACCCTCGGCGGTAGCTGCCGTCTTTATCTTCTTCTTGGGAGGAGCTTGGTTGAGGGAAGATGATTAGCGCGCCAAAAACAAGTTAATGGGATTGCGAGGCTGGTCATACCCGGGGCAGCTTCCTCGTCTTCTTCTTCGCCCTCCTCGTCATCTTCGGCATCCTCTTCGTTGAAGCTTCCGTCATCTCCGGAACTGTCGCCGGCTTCTTCGTCATCCTCGTCAGAGACATACCTGCACCGCTACGAGTCAGCCACAGATTCGGGGTTATCTGGCATGCAAATCATGGCCATCTCCCAATTGTCGACGGAGACAATGCTCCGGCTACCACCGCGAAAGTAGGATGCGCCAACGACATCAGCGCCCATTTCGCCACACAAGGTCTGATGGCGTTCAGACCAGTCGCGTCGCATCAGTGACGATGGGGAATGGCATCCAAGGCAGCTACAGAAAACACCAGCATCAGGGAGCACGGGGATGGGCTTACTCCTCCTCCTCCTCTTCGTCATCACTGGGCAGAGCTACGAGCTCCTCCTCCTCTTGCTTTCTCTTGCGGCCGGTCATTTCGATGGAAGGGCGTGTTGGTAAGATATCAATTGAAGAGTGTAAGGATAGAACACGGGCGTGGAGAGTTGGATTTGATGGGAAAGCTTGGATAGGAGAGAGGGGAAGGAAAAGGAGGAGAAAAATAAGGGAGAGAGGAAAGGCTGAGTTGGGGGGGGGAGGAGGGTGGTAGACGGGCAAAGGCTGGAGCTCCGGTGTGAACGGTACGTACCTACCTTTTCTTTGCCAGCAGCCAAGGACGAGATTACAAGGTGGGAAGGACGGAGAGTCAGGAAAGGGGCGGGGGAGCAGCAGAGAGGGGGAGGGAAGCCAGGCTTTGCGCGCGCGCACAGCTGGGGTCACTGAGGGGAGGGGGGAGGAGAGCAGAGCAAAGCAGAGCAACTTGGGGGGGGGGCCTCAGAGGTGGGCGGTGTGGGCGGGGAGGAGAGGGGAAGCTTCCCCCCAGCTCCCACCTCTCTCAAAGCTACGGTGGGCGTGGCCTCTTCCCGCTTTGGAGAAGTTGGAAACCTGAGGCATCACTCCATCGGTGACGGGTATCAAGGAACGGAGCAGTTGGCCCAGTGTCGCATAGAGCACAGTGAACAGAGAACAGAGAGGGGGGAACTCTGATCGCATTCTGGCTTGTGCATCTGCCCGTCCAGGTGCGCAATTTGACGTTTCCGACTGGCTGATTGACGCAGGAGCTCGGACCTCTTTCCCTCTAAGTGTAACGGAGTGACGGCACGTAACGATGTGAGTGAGCCTTTTCACTGCGTGCGGCACAGTTTTTCAGGAATAATCGGAGCGATAGGGAGGGCCTGTCAGCAAGCAACGGTTGAGAAATGTCGAGCATTGCGGCTAGCGTTCGGAATGGTCGATATCAAAAGAAAACGTCATTGACATTCTCACGTGACAGCAAAAGCTTGGAAGGAGCTTTGAACATCTCGTGTCTCGGTTGAATATTTTGCCGGCTCCATCGCCGATAGAGTTCCCGATGCCTTCATTCCGGGCCGGCTCCAGCAGAACAGAACTTCTCTGTTGTTGGAGTTGGTGCCGAAGCCGAAGAACGGAGGTGTTGCTGCTTTGGTATGTTGGTTCCGGACTGGGATACCAGGTGAGGATCGGTTGGCATGTCTCGAATGATGCTCATGGCGTGCTCATCGAGATCTCTCACGTTCTAGCGAGACGGTGGCCCAGGTTTTCTTCAGACCGGCGACAAGACGAACATGCTTCACAGCGTCAGGCCCAGCATGATCGAGACGGCATCGTGCAAAGCGCGTACGAGGTTCTCATCCCCGCAGCGCGAACGGTTTCTGCTGTGTCGCGTCGGACGCGTTGTAACCTGTAAATTTGACTGGGGTTGCATGTCTTCCGCGTAACGGACTCTGCTGATGTAGGAGATGCTCGAGACGAGGTCAGGTAGGTTCTCGGCACATCACATGGGATTGCTATGACGAGTACTCCGGTTTATCTGTTATCATTCTTCGCCGTTTGATGCAAACCGTTAAACAATGGCCGAGAGTCAAAGAGTGCCAAGAGGGCAAAGCTGATATCAAAGATTCCGGCGTAGCTGGAGGAGAGGAACACTCGACCCCCTTCGCGATTGATACAGCGCATTGACTACACCTCCTGGGACCTTCATTGATGCTGACCAACAGTGGCAACACGAGAGGCGGTGCTATAGGTACTGTATAATTATTAACAGCACCGGAGCTATGTACATAATAGAGTCACATCTGGGCATGTTCCTGAAGGGGATAATTTTGAGATGAGAGGTCCATCCGTCCTTTCCCCTGGCGATCATCCCAAGCTAGAAATTTTCCAAGTTTTCGAAGGCTTCCATGACAACAGGGCGAGCAGGGCTGCGATCCATGGATGGGAAGACCCACAACAGGGAGCCATTGCCCGAATAGGTCTAGTGTCAGGCACAGAGTGGCCCGGAAGACCCTCGCCAAGGGCACAAGCGCGAGTCGTCGTCCGGAACTGCGGGTTCGCGAACGGACAGGGGGAGGGAGGGGGGTAGGGGAGCATTTTCATTCCCGATTGAACAAGCATTGCGATGAAATTTCTGTGTGAGTCTGCTGGTTTGTCTCCTGATGGTGACTTGTCACAATGGACCTTTTTTATGGGATAGCATCTATGTATGCAGGGTCAAGGAGAAAGAACACAAACTTACAGTACCCAGCTGGGGGGGACTTGTGTAGATCGCTGCCGCCGTTTGCGTTTAGGGGTTCCCACCATCCCCTACAACGGCAGCCCACTGCGGCGATGATGTCGGTCTTGGAGGGGGGCATTGTTGCTTTTTTGTTTTCCTTTCTGCATGTCCTGGGGGTCTTTTTGCACTGGGGGTCAGCCAATAAATGGCACGACAATAACCATTTCCGAGAGTTGCACAGTCGTACCTGCTTCGGGGGAACATGACGAATAAATCAGATGGAGTTCTGGAGAGCCGAGAGAGAGGGCCACGAAAGCTGAAGCTTTGCCAATGAATGCTCCGCCCATTTGCCCCGCCTTTCAGATCGGGCTGTCCGCGGCTTGTTTTATTTATTCTCTCTCTCTCTCTCTGAAATCTCATCCAATTCCCAGCAATTTGGGTTCGATATCCTCCCTCGCAGAGAAGCTCAAACTCAAACCTGGCCTCGGGCCGAAAGTGCGTTGCCCGGACCCTGTTACGCGACGAACGGCTGCTGCTTCGTCCACTGTGCACAACCGCAGACAGAACCACCACATCGACCCAGACGCGGTAATATTAGGACTGCAAATTATTCGGAGCCTGTCACCCGGCTCTACCTTGGACGGGTGAAACGGTCGTATCCTTCCAGCGGCAAGACAAGAGATGGTCAGGAAACAGAACAGACAGAGTCTTGAAGTTGAAAAGGAAACTCGAACCAAGGCAGTGGGCAGGCCACCTACTCCGCAGGTGCTCCCGGGATCCTCCCCGGCACTAATCCCAACAACCATCAACCCGGCTCCAGCGCGGTGTCAGGCCCTGCATCCGCAGCCCAGAAGCCTGCTGCGTGCTCATTTGGGCGCTGATCACGACGCGCTGGGGAAAATAACAATTAAAATAAAGCAATTCCCAATGCTATTTTTCACCACGGCCTCCACCTAAAGGATTGAAGCCTTCACCGCACACACCCGCCGTTCTTCTTCAACAACATCGGCCGCCGCCATGTTGGGCCATCACAGAGAAGACGGAGGAGGAGGAGGAGGAGGAGGAGACAGTGACAATGATAATGATAATAATGGTGGTGGTGCGGCTTATCCCGCCCCAAGCAGCATGATACACCACGGCTTGCCCGCTTCCCGACAGCAAGCGAAACCACAATGGCCAAACGCCGGACCCTGGTCGAAACCAGACGAACAGACCGACTACTCCTACTACCAGCAGCAATACAACCAGCGCCATCAGCACTATCCTCCCCGCAACTTTCCCGTCCAGAATCTTCACTCTTACCAAACACGCTCCAACCACCAACGACGACCGTCGAGCTCGCCGAAACCGACGCTCGATCTATCACACGACCGCCGACAGATCCACCCTGACCTCCTTTCTCCTCGCAGCGACTCTTTCTTTTATAGCTCCCCGAATGCTCGGCGCAATCCGGCCTTGACACCGACCGCCTCCCATTTTCCGAACAGCAGTGCTCGGATGAGGGCCGAGTCGAACCCCGCGTCGAGACCGCCGCCCAGGTCGGCTTTTCCTGGCCTGTCGTCGAACCCTTTCATCATTGAGGCATACGAACCAGAACCAGAACCTGAACCTGAGCCGACACCGCAATCGGAGCCCCCATCGCGGGCGCATTCTCGACCGCCGAGCGATGAGCCGCCACGCAAGTTCCCGCTCCTTGCCCGACATCACGAGCAAATCGGGGGGGCGATGTCTCCAGCCTCGATGATGTCGCGCTTCGAGTCACCGCCCGGCAGCAGGCGAGGCACACCAACCCCATCGGAAGGTACTGTCGTGACAGTCGAAAACTTTTCTCGGCCACGGAAGACGAGCATTCGGTCGCAGCAGTCTGATGGTGCTTTGTCGTCACGACGGATGGGGCTGAGTCGCCCGCAGGTGGAGCCGACGCTGGAAGAGTCGGGAGAGTATCAGAGTGATTATCAACAAGTACACGCGCAATCCCACGCGCCCGGAAATCCGTGGCCTAGGCTCCGGAGACTGTCTGGCTCGTCCTCACAGTCTTCCAGTACGTTTTCCTCGATTGCGCCTCGCCCGTCGCAGGATCATGCTCCGAGAAGCGAGACTCCGAGAAATATGAACGCCCCCATTGCGGCCTTGGCCGGCCCCTTTGCGAGATCGGTGCTGGGTCCCAGTAGTAGTGGCACTCAGGCCTACGCTCGGGAAGAGCAGGCGGCACAAGAACAACAACAGCAGCAGCAGCAGCAGCAACAACAGCAACAGCAACAGCCAGTTCAACCTCGCGAGCCACCACCATGGCTCTCGGCACCGGACGAAACCCTTCGGTCGAGCTTTCGATCCCAGCTCACATCCTCCACGGCTCAGGGCACGTTATTCACAGCGACGGGAACCGAGAGAAACAGCGTTCTCACCAAGGCGAGCAGTGTCGGGGATCACCAATCTATTACTAACATCTATGCTCGGGCAAGCTGGTGGCACAACTCCATCATTGGAGACGATGGGCTTTTGGAGGATGTGATGGGAATGTACGAGAGAGGGTTCAACGATTCGGACATTGAAAGCATACGGAAGAGCATGAGGTTTGCGGACGACGAGGACATTTTTGCGCAGGCTGATTTGGACAACCCGATGCCACGGAGGAACAGCTCGAGGCCTGCAAGCAGCCACCATTCCGACGCCGACGTGGTGAAGGAGAAGATATTGGAAGCGATGAACGACAGCTTGCCAGCGCCAACTGGCATCGCGATTCCGATGGGCAGTCCGGGTTCGAGACAGTCGGTTCCCAAGTTTAGACAGTCGTTACTGCCAACGAACTCGTTGCCGAAGGATTTCGGATTTGGACAGCATATCGCGAAGAGAAATCTGGCTGAAGCCGAAGGGCTGGAGAAGCACGATTCGGCCAAGTTGGTGGATAGGGATGATGTCCCAGTGCAGCAGGCGGTGGAACGGGAGGAAGAGAGACCAGTTTCGCCCTTGTCGCCTGTACAGCCAGAGCTACCGATACCCACGATGCCGATACCAGCTTCTCGCCCTACAACGCCATCTCGCGCTCCGCCACCAATGCCACAGGAACCACCGGAGGAGCCAGGCGCCCGGGACCGGTACGGGTTCCGAAAGGCGGGTCCTAATGTTTCCCGCCAGGCGTATGACGCTTGGAACGCCGGTTATACCGAATACTTGTCCAGGAGACGCAAGAAGTGGATTGCCTTTCTCAAGGACAACTCGCTCATGACGGACCGACCTATACGATTCCCGCCACGCAGCACCAAGACGAAGAGATTCATCCGAAAGGGCATCCCGCCAGACTGGAGAGGGGCGGCCTGGTTTTACTACGCGGGCGGGCCGGCGATTCTGAGCAAGCACCGGGGTGTGTACGAAGATTTGCTGAGGCGGGCTGCGTTGGATCCCACCGGGCCGGGGAGCATGCCGGGGTTGGTGGGGGAGGTGAAGCCGTTGATTGTGGACGATATCGAGAAGGATTTATACAGGACGTTTCCTGACAATATCCGGTTCAAGCCGCCGCCCAGGCCGGCGCCGCCACCTCCGAGTAGTCCGGTTGGCGGTGAGGAGGGAGATGATGCGGTCGAGGTCGAGCCAGCGCCAGAGCCGGAGATCATCACGTCGCTCAGGAGGGTCTTGCACGCGTTTGCGTTGTATAACCCCCGGATTGGGTACTGTCAGAGTCTGAACTTTCTGGCTGGGTTACTGCTGCTGTTTGTTGAGACCGAGGAGCAGGCGTTTTGGTTGCTTAATGTCATCACCAGGGTTTATCTTCCGGGCACGCACGAGATGAGCCTGGAGGGATCAAAAGTTGATCTTGGGGTTTTGATGGTGGCGCTCAAGGACTCTCTCCCTAATGTCTGGAAGCAAATAGGAGGCGACGAGGACATGGGACTGGGCGGGGGAGGAGGGGGAAAGAAGAAACCCAAACGAGGCCTCCCCGGCAGCGGACACAGGGCCAACCAGCAGAGCGTGAGCGATCCTAATCGGCTCCCTGCCATAACACTCTGCATGACGGCCTGGTTCATGTCTTGTTTCATCGGGACTCTCCCCATCGAGACGGTCCTGAGAGTCTGGGACGTGTTTTTCTACGAGGGGAGCAGGACGCTGTTTAGGGTTGCGTTGACGATCTTCAAGCTGGGGGAGCCCGAGATCAAGGCGGTGCAGGATCCGATGGAGATGTTTGGGGTTGTGCAGCAGTTTCCACGGAAGCTGCTGGACGCGAACGCGCTGATGGATTTGTGCTACAAGAGGCGGAACGGGATCGGGCATTTGAGCCAGGATGATGTTGAGGAGAAGAGGCAGGAGAAGAGGGATGGGATTAGGAGGTGGATCGCAGAAGAAGAGGATGACGCTTTTGTCTGAGCGAGTTTTCTCCTCTAAGATACAGCTTCTATGTGGTCGAGTTTGACTGGGGACCGCTCGCCTACAGCTCATTCCTCTCCTTTTTGGTTCTA